TATATATATATATATATATATATATATATATATATATATACGTGTCTACAGTAAAACAACTAATCATTGCATTACCAAGGGCGTAAAGCCACTCTCACCCAAGCCGCCTCAAGATAGGTGGAGGAGCGGCATGTAAGTTAAATTTCAACTCAGTGCTAATATCATGCTCACACGTTAATTTCAGGTACAAATACAACTTCATATATTTTCCTTCTTAACTGCTGCCGATCTGTGCCGTGCTAGTCAGGTGTGCCGTACTTGGAATGATTTGTGCTCAGATCATCTTCTGTGGAAGTGTCTTTTGTGGATTGACCAGCATAAATGGGAGACTGTCAGTCATAGAACCAATCCAGCTGTCTACAGAGCTGTCAATTCAGACCTTTCACAAAAAGAAATGTAAGACCACATTTCAACTATCCCATTAAATTTGTCATTGAGTATTAGTAAAGATATTATTGTGAGAATCCAGAAAAAAAAATCCTTCAAAAAGATTGTTCATTTATAACCAAATAAAGTAAAATCTACTTTCAATAAAACTACTGACTGCTAAAAAACAGATTGAAAAAATTCAGTGTTCAATTTAATTCAATATTTATTAGATCGACACACACACATTAAATTAAATTTTCGAGTGAAGTTGATAGCTTGGTGATTAAGATGTTTGCCTTCCAATCTCATACATGGTCCTGTCATGGTAACATGATATTTTCTTACGACGAAAGCTTCATTGAGACTATGTAGAGCATCTATGTTTGTCTAGTGAAGGGATATACCACTTAGAAAAGTGATTAAGTTCACTGTTTGGCATACCATACCTTTGGCCTTCAGCCTAAAACAATTTTTGAAAGAAAGATTAGACTTGTATCCATTCATTTTTCACATTATATATACAATTTTTTTTATGTTGCAGCTATTTAAGATGCTCTCCATATGCCCAGCCTGTCAGTACTGGTTTACAATTTTCCCTTCCAAGAATATTCCGTTCACTCATGCTTAAGAAATCACCCAAAATTGTGATGTTTGGACCTGGCTTAGAATGTGATGCAACATCATCTATTGTTCGAAAGTTTCTTGGCGAAAGACCTGACGTTTTCAAAACCTGTGGTGGTTTCCCTGGAGAATTCCCGGGAAGTAAGTGAAATCTAATAAGTTTACACTTTAAGTTCCTCTAAGGCAAGACTTACACCTTGTTTCCCAAACTTATTGTTTCAGAGATCATCAGAGGTGTTAAAAAAATAAAAATGAAATTTTGTTTTCTTATTTAGGAAATATTTTTGCCAAAAAATCCAGACAGAGGAGAAAATAAAAATAAAATTTTATTGGTGAATGCAAACAGTGTAGTAATGGGATGGTTAGATGCTTTAAATTTATATAATTAAGAAGAAAAATATACATATCTTATTTTTGAGATTTCAAGGCAGCAGCGGGTGTAATAAAAATAGAGAAAAAAATGTTCTTTTTTTCCTGAAATTTCAATTTTTCATGGCGCCGGATGTTCTAATTGGCCAAATATAAAATGTTACTTTTCTTTGAAATCATCATTATTGGCAGGTGGTGGTTTAAGGTATAATAGAGTCATTACTAATGATACATTGTACTTTGAACAAATAAAGGTAACTAATAACTAGTGTGTCATTAGGCCGACCAGCCCTCCATAAACTAACGTTAGAATACCGCACTTTCGGCGGTAAAGAACAATTAAAACCTCATAAAAAAGGCAACTAATCCATTTACCTATAATTGAATCCAAGGACACCAGTGTTAAACACTCAGTACTTATCCTTGATAATGTGTTAATCCAATTAATATAGTGAGATAACGTAACATTAGTTTATCGAGGGCGGGTTGAGCTAATGGTATTTGTGTAAAGAAAAACATTTTTCTATTCCAGGTATTGGCACTGGTTTTTATGTTCAAGTGGAAAACAACTTTCAAATTCGCTTGATCACACTCTACTCAGGAACAAGGTAATACACACATATCTGACAATGCAGTATATCAGAATAGATGAATTACTATTACAAATGTTTAAAACAATATTTTAACTTTTTTATCAAGTCACATATTGCGTAACATATTTTGTACTGGTATACAGTATTACATAAATTTGTATAAAAGAATGAAAATGCGGCTTAAAAAATAAAGACTAAATTGATGCTTCATTTCAATTAAAGAAAAAGTAGAGAATGTCAACACGGTCAAAGGGCAAGCAGAAATAAGTTGTTAGTGGCAGCAGCATCAGCATCAGAAGAGAATGAAGTAGTTATTGAAGGGGATGGCAATGGAAACGCTAATGATGAAGCTGATAAACCATACGATGCTAGTTATTCTGTGAAGGAACTTTGCAGGACAGTCGATGCATTTGTGTTTGTTGTAAATGCCGCTGCTTCCTCTACGACATCAGGTTTGTTTTACTTATTTTACACAGATATTCACTTTCTATCAACAATCTCAAAAATAAAATTGTTTCTATGGTGGGAAGGGGAGGTCCCTGGGGAGGTAATAGAAGTTGCCACCAACACTTATGCAGGCTTACACATACTATTGTTTGTAAATTTTATAATTTTAAAAAGAATAATTATATGGTCTGTGGTTAATGTTGAGAATTTTCAGTCATATGCAAAGGGAATATATAAAAAATATACATACGTTATTGCAAATATTTTATTATTTATATTATTATTTTTTTATTTATGTTATTATTATTATTAATAATTATTAATTATTAATTGATAATAATTAATTATTAATTCATTATTATTTTGTTAATTGATGATGTTCTCATTCATATGCAAAAAATATACATGTTATTAAATTGCAAATATTTTATTATTTATATTATTTTTTTATTTATATTATTAATTATTATTATTATTATTAATTAATAATTTATTTATTATTATTCTGTTAATTGATGATGAATGTTCTCATTTTAACTTTTAAACTTACAAAGCAATTCAAAAACTGATTGTTAGCATATATTATTAGGTCAACATCCACAGATATATAAAATATTTGAAATGTTTTAATAGTTGCAGAAGGAAGGCCAGAACTTTTGGCAATAATGAATGAGAGATGGACAGACCCGTCAATACCGTTACTTATTTTATCGTGTGTTCAAAATCAAGACATTCCCAGAATACCTTGCATCACTGTTGCTGAGCAACTGAAACTTCACACTATAAACAGAATTTGGAAGGTTTTTGGGTAACCATGTTAATAATATACACCTGTCTCTTATACACATCTAGATGTGTATTGATGCAAACACATTAGGTGCATGTGGTTAAAGTGAATGTGGAGCTAAAACATCAAGAACATGTTGTTAAGAGTAAAGTGATGTTAAAACATCAGGAACATGTTAGATTGGGTTGTTGCTTTGTATCTGGCCTGTGTGGTGTATGACAGGTGTCAGCACACTCGACTTTGTGGGGTCGCCACCTTAGCAGTGGTAGTAGAGCCAAGCCTTTTCCTGGTCAGAGGTGGGCAAAGTGTGGCACGACAGTGACTTTTTTGCAGCCCCGCGAAAATGTATTAAAAATTCTGTGCGTGTGGCTGGCCAAACATCTAATTTTACGGCTCGATTCCAATCATCTGTAAAAAGTAACATTAAACTGAGGATAAAGTGGTATAAAAGCAGTGCAGTTTTTTGAAGCACACTGGAAACCTCGAAGTTTGGGTGTGGCCGCCAGTGTTAAACCCAAAATTCACTTTGGTCCTCTGACCTATTTTTATGCCCACCACTGTCCTAGGTGGAAGCTAATGGAGCCAAGCATACTGATGCTAGGGTACGTGTACATGGTTGTGGTGGCGACACCATCTCAACATCGGGAGTGGGTATTTTCCTTTTCCTTTGTGTTTGCGGTATGTTTAATGCCATTTTTGGCCACTGTTTCACTGCATTACGACTTATTTGTTTATACTATGTATATTTTATTTATTTGTTTGTTTTTCTGTTTTTCAAACAGAAAAACAAATAATCAAATTATTTGCCTTAAGCTGTTATTTGATCAGCTGAATTTCTTTAGCTGCACCACTTCAGATGAATGGTGTATATCAAAAAATATCTATAATATTGATAAAATATAATTAAAAATTAATATTCTTTATAATGTGCAATAGGCAAACTGTATATTACAAATTATTATTATTCACGTATATAAGTTTGATTCTGTAAATAAACTCTTCAATAGTACTATGCAAATATGAAATGATTTAAATAAGTTTATGCAAGAGTAATGTGTCTTTATGTATATTTTACCACTGCTTCAAATGCACACAGTAATGAAAATATAATTTGTTGACACATGAAATATAAACCTTATACGGTATATTAATTAGAAAGGAATACAGTTTTTTGATGTAAAAAATAAAATACACAAAACCTAAATATTATATTGTTCCATTTGTATTTCGATTTCATACCAAGTTCTGAATATGTGTGCATGCCTACATGAAAACATACAAATGCTAATAGCTATGTACGAAGACAACGATCTGTAAACACTGTATACCATTGTCAAATTGTCATGTTTTATCAAGGAGATGCAAACTTGAAGATGTACTGTATGTGTAAATACTGTATACCATTGTCAATTGTCATGTTTTATCAAGGAGATGCAAATTTGAAGATGTGATGTATGTCATGAACTAAAATTTGACTTTAGGGTTTTCCCAAATGTTTTTTTTTTGGCAGACAGCATATCTTTTAAACCTACTAACACCATATTACTCAGGATACATGCTAAATGTAGTAGCACTACATTCTTCCCTGAATATTTCTACTAAATTACCACGACTACGAACCGTGGCAAGGTGCGTACGATATGAAAGAATGGCTGCACTACATGATAATGCACACCGATACATGCCAATTCAGGAATGTTACAGGCCTCTGCAATGTCGGTCTTTCTTATATGAACTTCAAACAGGATGAATGCCTCTTCATATGTTCGTGATATAGCAAGGGGCTTGCTGAATTTTCCTTAGGACAAATCCTGATTAAAATGATGCCTTGTATGAATCTAGTGTGTTAAAATGTTAAATGCACAGATAGAGACAACATTTCCATCAGTCACTACAGTAGTTTTATTTACGTCACAATATATAAAATACAAAAGAAATTAACCACTATAGTACTAAAATTAGTGAATATGTAATATCATTGTGTTAGCACCATGATGCAATATTTTGGGTAACCATGTTAATAATATACACAGATACATGGCAATGTTAAGCCCAACTTACACAGCATCGTACGACGTACCCCAATGCAATTTATTGTTGGGGACAGTCGTTAGGTGATTATGAAAATATAAAACGTTTAATATTTTACGAGGTGGCTGCCAAAGACCTATCGCATCTTCAATTAACTCGCACAGACCCGAAGCGACAACAAAACCCATTGGACTGCATTGTACAACGCTCTCTGTGTTGGGCTTTAATTTACAAGTGTTTGTTCACATAGTGAACAGATTCAGGTAAAGTGCTCTCATCATTATTGTCTTAGCAATAATGCTACGTATAATCAATAAATATTAGTCATTTTCGAGTGAAATAAAAAAAACCCTTAAAAAACACCAAATTTTAAAATTGAATTCCTTATTCAGGCTTAGGTGGGGAAAAAAATTTGATATGTTGTGCAACTGATTTTTTTTTTAATTTGAGGAAAAGCTCTGGAATGGTCAATAAGATATATTTTTGAATATTTGCCACACAGTCATTTACCACCCAGCCTCTTTCCTGGTTGCCATACAATATTTTAATAATGATTTATTACATTGGGCTCTACTGAAATATACAAGATAAATAATATTGAGAAAATTGTTGACCCATCAGGATTTGAACCCCAGACCTACCACCTACTGTTTGTTTGCTCTACAAACTACCATTTGATTGATCTACCAACTACCCTTTGGTTGCTCTACCAACTACAAATCGGTTGCTCTCCCAACTACCATTCGGTTGCTCTACCAGCTACTGTTTGGTTGCTCTACCAGCTACAGATCGGTTGCTCTCCCAACTACAGATCGGTTGCTCTCCCAACTACCATTCAGTTGCTCTGCCAACTACCATTCAGTTGCTCTGCCAACTACCATTCGGTTGCTCTACCAGCTACTGTTTGGTTGCTCTACCAGCTACCATTTGGTTGCTCTACCAGCTGAGTTGTGGGGCTGCTGGTGTTACTCCCTTGGATTTTCCCATTAGGTCAAAATGTTTTAAATATCTTTAAATATACAATGTAAGTAATTATTTTTTTAGCTCAACACTTTAACAAGAGATAATTAGAAGTGAGTGTTCTGGTAATTGTTACAGATCTTTAAGCATCAACAAATTCTAAATGTACAGGTGTAAACTAAACATATGTGGCTCAACTATTTTTACACAATATAAAATGATACACAATACTCTTCCACACATTAGCATATTATATTGCAGCATTACACTTTCTGTTCCTGCATAATCATACATATGCTGTATAGTATACTTTATGTACATTGCATCACACCATCATTTAAATGGATTTGTGTAATATCCAATAGTATCATGTCATAATTAAATGTAACCACCTGTATAAATTACATCTGGTTGTCACAGTAAATTACAACCACCTGTAAGTTACATCTGTGTCATGTGCCCAATCTTGTGTACTTCTAAAATAATAAATATTTTCATTAAAGAACATACAATGTAAGATTGAAATAGAAAATACATTCTCATGATTAATTTTTAGATGTATACCAATAAGATATTTTAATAACTTCTTTTAAATATTTTATTCTTTAAAAAAAAAATAGTAAATAGCTTTCCACATAAATTCCCAAGTCTAGTTACTTGTGGATATAGCCATTAGGTTATATACCCAGTCTATACATTAATTAGTGTATATAGCCACTAGGGTATATAACCAGTGTATATAAT